TTTTCATGTTTTTAAATTCATTATTTTTTAATCTACAGGGCATAATCTTCTCTTAATGCTGTCCATTATATATACATACATACATATAAATATACATAAAATCTCCCACATATATGGATGTGTATATTATCTCTCACAGTGCATTTTTCTTATGTTCAAGTTGAATTTGAGTTTTCATATATGCTCCAAGTCTCTATGTAACACACTTGTACTTTCTTTTGCTTCTGAAACACAAAGCATATAGTTATAATAAATAATTTTAATATCATTATCTACTAATCATATTATCTGTGTCACTTCTGGGCCTATTTCTATGGATAGAATTTTCTCCTGTCATCAGTGCTTAGCCATGAGATGACTTTGTTTCCCACTGTGTCATCACTGGATGATTAGACTCTATGGTCAGTGCTCTAAAGAGTCAAGACGATCCATCCTGGGGATTAAGGAATGTTTCCCAGAAGAGTGTAGTAGGTGAGCAAAGTCACCAACTCAGAGTGAGGAGATCTTTGCTTTTCAACATTGTGCTGGAAAAGTTGGATTTCCACAGGCAAATGAATGAAGCTGGACACTTATCCCGAAACAGATCATCAACAGAGAATCTTGAGTGCTGGGCACTCGATAGCTGCTTCTGACTCAAGCACCACAGGCTGAAATGCACCTTGCAGTGTCTGACTCCAGTCCAGCATCTCTGAGATGGAGCATGCAATCCAGGTCTGCCCCGCATGGAAGTCCACATTCTGCTCAGACTCTGTTCAGTCCCCTCATCTGTCACCATAGTTTACAACTGAGTTGTCAGTTCCCTGAGCCTCTGTCTACCATTGCTCAATATTCACCCCATCAATAATTATTTGTTGGGCAACTTTTAGGTCCACAGCAAAATTGAGTAGCAAATAGAGTTCCCATGTGCCTCCTCCTCCCCATAATCAACCTCTTGAACCAGAGTGCTACATCTGTTATAACTGATGAACTTGCACTGATACACCATCACTCAAAGTCCATAGCTTACATTAGAGTTCCTTATTGGTGCAGCACATTCTTTGGGTTATCATTCAGAAGACTTTTAATGACCACCAACTCTTCAGTGCTCTGCCTATTTATTCCTCCCCCACGTCCCCCTAATCCCTGACAACCACTTATCTTTTTACTGCCTTCATTGTTTTGCCTGCTTAAGAATGTCATGTAATAATATACTATATACTATATAATAACATAGTATATAATCTTTTCCAATTAGATCCTTCCCATTTTCACTGACTGATATATACACTAAGTTTCTCACATGTCTTTTTGTGGCATGATGGCTTTTTTGTTGTTGTTGTTGTTGTTGTTGTTGTTGGAGATTCATTTATTTGTTTGGAAGGCAGAGTTACAGAGAGGGAGAGACAAAGAGAGAGAGATATCTTGCATCTGCTGGTTCAATCTTCTGATGTCCACATCAGCCAGCCCCGGGTGAGGCTGAAGTTAGGAGCCAGGAGCTTGTTTTGGGTCTCACACGTGAGAGCAGGAGCCTAGACACTTGGGCCATCTTCCATTGCTTTCCCAGTCCACTAGCAGGGAGCTGGATCAGATGTGAGAAACTGAGACCTGAACCGGTACCTATATGGGATACAGGTACTGCAGGTGGCAGTTTAACTCACTGTGCTACAGCACTGGCCTGGCTCATTTCCTTTAGCTCGGAATAATATTCTATTGTCTTGTTAGTCCTCAGTTTATTTACTTAATCACTGACTGAAGGATATTTTGGTTGCTTTCAAGTTTGGCAATTATGAATATATATCTCCTTACAATAGTTATTTATTTGTTTTAATGTATGGTTGTGTGGATTCTTTAGATTTCTTGATGAAAAGATTATGATCAAAAATTCACATTTCTTTCTTCCAAATCTGTATAAATTTTATTTCCTCTATTAATATTATTGCATTATCTAGGATTTCCAGAATGAATCTTGAAAAGGAGTCATGAGAAGCAACATTCTGATTGTTTTAGTGATTTAATTGGGAAATCTTCTCGTTTCTTATTATTAAAGATGGTGTTGGCTTTATTGTATTTTATTTTTGTGTATCTTCTTTATCCAGATGAGGAAGTTCCCCTCTATTTTTAGTTTTCTGAGAGTTTTTTATCACTAATGTGATTTGGATTTTGTCAAATACTCTTTCTGCATATGTTTTATATAATCAAGTATTTTTATTCTTTAGCCTATTGAAATCATGAATTAATAGATTTTTTATGTTGAACTAATCTTGCATATTTAGAATAAATAGAATTTGGTTATGGTGCATAATTCTTTTTAAGCATTGTTGGATTTGAATTGCTTACATTGTGTTGAAAATTTTTGCATCTAGGTTCATGTGTAATATTGGTCTATATTTTTTTTTCCATGTGGTGTCCTAAGTTTTGGTATTTGGTTAATGCTGGCCTCAGAGAATGAGTCAAGAAGTGTCCCTTCTGTTTCTATGAGCATTTTATGGAACATATTGAAGAGAATTGGTATATTTTATTTCTTACATGTTTGGTAGAATTCACCAACTAGCACATATGAGTCATACTTTTTGTTTTGGGATTTTATTAATTGATGATTCAATATCTTTCACAGATAAGGGCTTACTGAGAGTATTCATTGCTTCTGCTGTGAGTTTTGTATCTTTCATAAATTAATCCATTTCACACAGGCTATCAAATCTGTTGACACAGAGTTTTCATAATATTCATTTATTATCTTTGTAATGTTCATAGGGTTCTAGTTATGACTTCTCTTTCAATTCTGAGTTAAGTAATTTGTTTTCTTTTTTAAAAATTAGACTGGATAGCTGTTTAGTTATTATATTCATGTTTTGAAGGAACCAATTCTTGGTTTTATTGATTTTTCCCTATTTTCAGATTCATTGATTTTTGCTCTAATTTTTTGTTATGTTTTATACTTACTTTGAGTGTAATTTTCTTTTCTTTCTTTGTTTTCTAAGCTGGAAGCCTAGGCATTGATTTTAGATCTTTCTTCTTTTTTTAATATTTACATTCAATGTTATAAATTCCCTCCTGATCACTGTTTTTCTGCATCCTGCACATTTTGATATGTTGTATTCTTTTTAAGATTTATTTATTTATTTGAAAGGCAGAGGGGCCGGCGCTATGGCATAGCGGGTAAAGCTGCCTCCTGAAATGCCGGCATCCCATATGGGCGCCAATTCGAGTCCTGGCTGCTCCATTTCCGATCCAGCTCTCTGCTATGGCCTGGGAAAGCTGTAGAAGATGGCCCAAGTCCTTGGGACCCTGCACCCACGTGGGAGACCTGGGAGAAGCTCCCAGATCGTGGCTTCAGATCCTCACAGCTCCAGCCATTGCAGCCAACTGGGGAGTGAACCAGCGGATGGAAGACGCTTTCTGTGTCTCTCCTCTCTCTGTGTAATTTTGACTTTCAAGTAAAATAAAATAAACCTTTAAAAAAAAAGAAAGGCAGAGTGACAGAGAGAGAGAGAGAGAGAGAGAGAGATTTTTTGATCTTCCATCCACTGATTCACTTCTCAAATGGCTGTAACAGCTGGAGCTCAGCCAGGCCAGAGCAAGGAGCCAAGAATTCCACTTGAATGTTCCATGTGGCCAGCAGGGACTTTCCCAGGTACATTAGCAGTGACCTGGATCAAAAGCAGAACAGGACTTGAACTGATGCTCTGATATGGAATCTGGCTTTGCAAGTGGCAGTTCAACCCTTGCACCACAACTCTGGCCCAGTATGTTGTATATTCTTTTCAATTTATTTTAAAATTTGAATTGATATTTCTCCTTGGCACATGCATTATTTAGAAGCCTGTTGTGTACATTTGGGCTTCTTCAGCTATCTTTTTGTTTTGATTTCTATTTTAATTCCACTGTGGTCTGAGAGCAGACATTGCATGATTTCTATTCTTTTCAGTTTCTTCAGGTTTTATCTCCCAGAATGTGACTATCCTGTTGAATGTTTCATGTGATCTTGAGAAGCATGTGCACTGTGTTGTTATTCTTACATGAAACAGTCTGTGTATTTTAATAATATCTAATTGATTGATGTTAGGTACTATTGAGTTCCGTTATATCCTGACCAATTTTCTGCCTATAGAACCTGTCCATTTCCTGTTCCATGTGTCACTGCTGTTACTAATTTCACTTAGACATAAGTGCACATATATATCTGATATACACATACATATAATTGAATGCATTATTCTTATTATTATTTTGAACAGACTATTGTATGTTAGATAATTAAGAACAAGAAAGATGAAAGCTTTTACTATACCATCACTTATTCCTTCTTCAGTGCTCTCCCTTTCTAAAGATATGTGTTTCTGGCCCAAATTATTTGCTACTCCCTGAAGATTTTATTTTAGTATTTCTTGCAAGGCAGGTCTACTGGCAACAAATTCACCCAGTCTTACTCTTTGGAGACAGTTTCCATTTTTACCTCAATGTGGAAGAATAATTTCTCATGGTACAGAATTTGAGGCTGGTAGGTTGAGTTTTTTTTTTTTTTCTGAATATGTTGACTTTCTACTATACTCTTTCCTTTTTTCTAAATATTTATTTGTTTATTTATTATTTGAAAAAGAGTTTGAGAGAGAGACGGAAAGAGAGAGATCTTCCAACCACTGATTCCCTCCCTAAATGGCCACAGTGGTCAGGCCAAAGCCAGGAGCCAGGAACTTTTTCCGAGTCTCTCACATGGATGCAGGGGCCCAAGCACTGGGGCCGTTCTCTGCTGCTTTCCAAGCACATTAGCAGGGAGTTGATTTGGAAGTGGAGCAGCTGTGATTTGAACTGATACCTATACTGGGACTTAGCCCTCTGCACCACAGCACCAGCCCTCACTCTACTCCTTTTTGGCTGTCCTGGTTTCTGATGAGAAATTGGAGGTTATTCTTAACTCTGTTCCTCTATAAATAAGATATTTATCCCTTTTTATTTCTTGAGTTTTATTTGATTTATTTGAGATGCAGAGTCACAGAGAGAAAGAGGGGGAGACACACAAACAAGAAATCATCTATCTGCTGGTTTACTCCCCAAATGGCTGCAATAACCAGGGCTGAACCAGGCAGAAGCCAGGATCCTGGAACTCCTGGTCTTGGTCTCTCCACTTCTTGGGCCATCTTCCCCTGTTTTCCCAGGTATGTTAGTGGGGAACTGAACTGAAAGTGAAGCAACTGGGGCTGGAACCAACATTGCAATAGGACACGCTGGTTTAAAAATTAACAGAAAATTGATCTCTGTTAAACATAGGAGTGGGAATAAGAGAGGGAGGAGATATATAGGACGGCACATGCTCACTCGGACTTACCTCCAATGGTGGAACTAGAAATGTGCCAGGGGATTTCAACTCAATCTTACCAAGGAGGCAGGTACCAATGCCAGCACACTTGGTAAAGTGATAAATATAAATACACAACTGATCAAAAAGATATGGTAAGTGTCGAAGAGATTTCACAAATAAGACCAGTGTAAGCAAATAATGAAGGATAGAATTAAAAGGGAGAGAATGATCCTGCGGGGGAAGCAAGACACACAGCAGACTCATAGAATGGCAAATGCCCAAAACAGCACTCCTGCCTCAGAATCAACCCTTGGGACATTCGGATCTGACTAAAAGGTCCATGAGAGTCTCACAGGCATGGAAAGCCATGACATGGTGGCAAAAAACAATCTAAATGAAAGATCCTGGTGAACAAGACCCCAGCAGAAGGAACAGGCCATCAAGGAAAGAGGCGCCTGTCTCTGAAGGGAGGAAGGAACCTCCACTGTGATACGGCCTTGACTAAACAAGTACAGTTAGTGAACTCAAGGGGCTTCCATAGCCTAGACAGCTCATAGCAAGAATCTCGGGTGATTGCTGACATCATAAATAAGAGTGCCAATTGTTAAATCAACAACGGGAGTCACTGGGTACATGCTCCCCACGTAGGATCTCTGCCCTTAATGTGTTTAACTATGAAACTTAAAAACAACACTACTAGTCGAACAATACCCTATACCTGGTTCAGTTGTGTGAGTGCAGCCTATTGAAATCCCTGCTTAGTATATACTCAGTTGATCCTCAGTATATGAAGGTAATTGAAAATGAAACGTGGTGAAGGGCGGGATGGTAGAGGGAGTGGGAGAGGGGAGGGCTGCAGGAGGGAGCGAGGTTGGGGGGGGGAAGCCACAACAATACACAAGTTGCATTTTTATGTTCTACTTAAAACCATTGGTTGAACTCTGTAATTAATACACAATTATTCTTAGGTGTTTAATTAATGCTATAACTAGTACTCAAATAGTATTTTACACTTTGTATTTCAGTGTGGGTGCAAAATGTGGAAATCTTTATATAAAGATAATTGAAAATTAATCTTGATGTGAATGGAAGGGGAGAGGGAGTGGGAGAGGGGAGCATTGTGGGTGGGAGGGAAGTTATGGGGGGGAAGCTATTGTAATCCATAAGCTGTAATTTGGAAATTTATGTTCATTAAATAAAAAATAAATAAATAAAAATAAAAAAATAGGACACGCCGGCATTACAGGTAGCAGCTTGATGTGCTGCACCACAACACCAGTCCTCAAGATTTGTTCTTTATTTTTCCTTGAAATTTGAAAGTGATAAGTTTGGACATAGAGTGTTTTTGCATGTTTGTTTTGCGATTTGCCATCCTTAGTATTCTCTTACCTTCCTGGATATGTGATTTGGTGTCTGACATCACCTTTGTGGAAATCATCAGTCTTTATTTCTTCACATTTTTCTTCTGTTGCTTTCTCTTTCTGTTTTTCTGACATCCCCGTTATATGTCTTTTGTAGTTTTCCCAACATTCTTAGATCTTCTGTTCTGTTGTTACAATCCTTATCTTTACCTTTCAATTTTAAAAGATTTACTGACCTACCCTGAAACTCAGTTTATTCCTTGGTGACATCCAATACTAATGAACTCATCAAAGACATTTTTAATTTCTGTTGCAGTATTTTCGACACCTCACATTTATTTATTTTTATTTTTTCTTATAATCCTACCTGTTTGCTTATGTTACCTATATATTCTTGCATGATGCATGCTTTTTCCGTAGAACCTTTAACATGCTGATTATATTTGTATTAAATCGTGGCATGAAAATTCCAGTATTCTTGCTAGATCTGTATTTGGTTTTGAGGCCTGCTCTATTATATTGAAACTGAGTTTGTGCCATTTAGGAAGTCCTGCTTTGCTGAAAGGTGGACATGATATATTGTCTACAAGGAACTGTGTCAAATAGGCCTCTGTTACTATGCTTTTGGATCATGGGATGAGAGAAGCGTTCCATTGCCCTGTGATGTTGTCTGGTTGTCTGCATATAATGAACCTTTGCCATGAAACTTTGACCTTCACTCTTTCTTTCTTTTTTAGATTTATTTATTTTATTTGAAAGGCAGAGTTACAGAGAGAGAGAGAGATTTTCCATCCGCTGGTTTACTCCCCAGATGGCCGCAATGTGCTGTGCCGATCTGAAGCCAGGAGCCAGGAGCTTCCTCTGGGTCTCCCACGCGGGTGCAGGGGCCCAGAGACTTGGGCTGTCCTTCACTGCTTTCCCAGGCCATAGCAGAGAGCTGGGCCTGAAGTGGAGCAGCTGGGACTCGAACTGGCACCCATATAGGATGCCAGCTCTGCAGGAGACGGCTTTGCCTGCTATGCCACAGGCCCCATGACCTTCACTCTTGCATATCAACTTCCCCTCTTCTATGCTCAAGAGGAACAGGAGGTGTCTACAGTTGGGTATTTTCCTTCCCCCAAATTGGCTGAGCTGTGATAAAAACCCACTGTAATTGAGGCTGTGGTAAAACAGTTTGTTTAGGGCAGGCCATGGTAAGTAGGACACAATGTTCTGCTCTATTTCAGAATGGAAGTCCTGCTTTTCCTCCTCCCCTGCTGGGAGCAGGAGGGAATTGTCCTCCAGTGTTTACTGTGAGAACCTGGTAGATCACCTGCAGGTGAAAATCAAAGCGTGAGGGGCCTCCTCTGATGGACAGCCCTGGAGACCTCAGCTCCGAGGCTTCCGCACGCGGACGATGGTCAGGCTTTCCCAGCCCGTATCCCAGCTCTGTTTGTCTCTTGAGTTTGTGTTCCAGGAGGCTGTGATTCTCTATGTCTTCAACAACAAGAGCAGAGGTTTTCCCTGTGACTGTTCTCCTCTGCTGAATATGAGAAGAGTTGTTCATTTGTAGTTTGTTGTTTGTGTGTTTAGCTTTTTACTGGTTGTTAAGGATGAAGCAGCAATTTCTTTGCTCCCAACTCCCAGGAGACTTTCTCTCCAATGCAATAACGATCCACATGTTTACTAATGTAAAGTGTAAAGTTTTCACCTCCACTTAACTAACTTCCAACAAAATACCATAATTTCTCTTCTAGGCTTTTAAATGTTGCAATGTTCCAGGATTCATTTTCTCTCTCTCCCCCTCTGTCTCTTCTCCTCCTCTTCCTCCTCTCTCTCTCTCCTCACCTCTCCTCTCCCCTTTTCTCCCCACTGCTCCCCTCCTCTCCTCCCCCCACTTCCTCTCCTCTCCTTGCCACCCCACAAGGTAATGCTGGTGTGACCAGGGAAAAGGAATAGAAGACAATAAGCATTCCTGGGAACACTTGTTTCAGGAAGGACATGGGTTAAAAGAGTTTGGGAACCTGACTTATGTTTTAAAAGTTTATTAAGGGAAGCCAACAGAACTCCCTTCAACCAAAGAGATTCTAAAAATAATAAAGGCTTTTTTAATCCTATGGAGTCTTGTTTTTTATTCCTTTTGGAATAACATAAACGCATGCATCCCCAGCTCCATTAATCTGTCACTCACATATCATGTGTGCAGGGGCATGTGCTGGAAAGTGAATTACATAACGAGTGAATGGAAGCCACTTTTTTTCTGATATAAGTATGCCTTAAATTACATATTGTCCATCTGACTTTTAAAACATGGAGCTCTACTTTTTGCGGTTGTCAAATATGTCTTGGGAAGCCTATAATTTCTCGGTAGGTATCAGAGGAACTTTCAAGCCAACAAAGGGGAGGCTACTCTTCTTGTTCTCAGAGTACTGCTGTTTGGAGATCAGTGAAATTTATTTGTGTTTCATTAATCGTTATTGCTTCAGAGTAAATAGGAATAATAACTGTGGTAATAACACCTGGTGCCAGTCTGATTTATTTGCTGAAGAGGGTTCAAATGTGCATGGACTGAAATGTGTTCAAATGTGCATACTGAAATGAGGAGATGGACTTTAGGTGTGATTTTGGAGGTCCATGAATACCACTTTTGCCACACAACAGTGATTATTGGGGTCTGCAATTTCTTCTCATGGGAACCTACTGAGAAGGAAATGAGAGAAAGCAAACTCCCTTGCAAAGGTTTACAGGGGCTATCATTTATTGCCTCTCTACCAAGAACAAGGTACTGGGATGGCATGTTGTAGGCCCTCTGTAGCTCTGAATGCTCACAGTCACATGGGGTTGTGGGGCAGGTGAGGAGCTCTTTACTGCAGAGAGAAGTGACATGCAAGTCAGGTGAACTCACAGGCTCATGATCAGGCACATGGTGACCTCTGAGCTGCTGTCCCAGCCCTGGTCCAAGTTCAAAGGCCAGGCTCATGACTTTAACGGCAACACTCAAGAAAGAGTGAGTGTCCCAATTTCACAGTGACATTCACAGAAGTCAATGAAGTTGACCAATTTCTCCAATTTTATTTTTAAAATTCCTTATTCCTTGTCTTTTCTTGAGAGAGTTGAAAGCATCTTCCAAGGTAGCAGGTGGCAGAGCCTGCCTTTCACTTTGTTCTGACTGTTGCCAAGAAGAGCAAGCGTTGTCTCTGAGGCTGTGACATCTGTCCCAGTACATCAGTATGCAAAACATGCATGAAAGCAGCACTGCTATAGACTCATTTTGTAGATCTGTAGTTTTAACTGTGCTTGTAAAATGTACCAGTTAGGACCATTAAGGATTTCTGACCATTGCAGTCATTCGAATTATGCTTTATTTTTTGAAATGGTTACTAGCTTTACATTACTCTTGGCATCCAAGTTATTTTTCCATTTGATATTATTTGAAAATCTCAAATTTCAAAATATAACTTGTTAAAGTGCTAAATTCTTTTTAGCAGTTTCCTTTTTGATGTCAGGTTATTTAAGTTTATCTTAAAGCTTCAAGCAACAGAAATGTCTTGTGTCTAAGTTGACATCCGAGCAATATTTATTCTAGCATTAGTGTATACTTCTAATGACTTCATCATGGATCTAGTTCCTACTTGATAGGAAATAATTTAACTATTACATAAACATCAGTAGTGTAGTTAGATGAAACCTCTGATTGCTCCATGTTTCTCTTCCAAATAACATCTCAAACATGAAGATCACTTATTTTGTTCTATGTCCCATGTGGATTAAAAACTGATTTTTATGGTCTTTATTTCCTGCCATGTGAATATGTATGTTGGGATCCACACTGTGGCTCAGCAGATTAGGCTGCCACCTGTGCTACTGACATCCCATCTGAGCACCAGTTCAAGTCCCAGGTGCTCCACTTCCAGTCCAGCTCCCTATTAATGCACTTAGGAAGGAAGTGGAAGATGGTATAAGTGCTTGGGTCCCTCACACCCACATTGGAGACCTCAGTGGTGTTCCTGGCTCCTGGCTCTGGCCCATCCCCAGCTGTTGCAGCCATTTGAAGAGTGAACCTGCAGATGGAAGATTTGTTTCTCTCTCTCTTCCTCTCCTTCTCTGGATCTGTTACTGTGCCTTTCAAATAAACAAAAATTAATCTTAAAAAGAAAGAATGTGTAAGTTGTAGCTGCTTTTCCTGTCTGCAGAATTTCCAGTTTTCGCTTGTAGTTGCATGCATGACTTCTGCTCCATGACTGGGCCACCTCCACCAGGTAGTTACTTGGTGCACCTGTGCATAGGACCAGCCTCTCTTGTACAATTTGTAAGCTGGTGTACAGCTCCGACTTCAAATGATATCACCATGGGATGAATCCCTTCCTGGCCAGTGATAAAATTCCAGAGAGAGAGAGAGAGAGAGAGAGAGAGATTGATTCACTGGTTGAGTCCCCAAATGGCCACAATGATG